CCCCCGCAGTCCCCAGATGGTTGAATTCTCCGCGGCTGCTGGAGATGAGCGGGCAGCACCTTTGGCATCTGCCTTGGGTAGTAAGGGGTGCTGATTGAAGGGCGGTAGGATATGCAAAGGAGTGGCAGAGGGCAGCTTCCTTTGGCGGCATGTGGGCATGCCCCATCCCAGCCCTGCCTGGGAATTGTTTCCTGCAGGAGTTTCTCTGGTGGTGTCGAAAGACTCCCAAGTTACTCCCCCATCCCGCTCCACACCCAGGCCCGGCGTTGTTTCCTGCAGGAGTTTCTCTCGTGGTGTCGAAAGACTCCCAAGTTTCTCCCCCATCCCGCTCCACACCCAGGCCCGGCAGGGATCCTGCTGTGTGAGACAGGTGTGCCGGCCCTGGCCTTGGTGGGACTGGGTGCTCAGTGTAGCTGCCCCCCTTATTGTGCATCCCCAACCCATTGCTCCGGGGCTGGAAACTCTGCAGCGGGGCCCAGGGCTGACAAAATCCTGCCAATCTTTTGGCTTCAGTGTGAGCTTGGAGAGTGGCTGGCACGGGGCGCTGCGTGGAAAGGTCAGAGTCTGCAGTGCTTGGGAAATGAGTCACTTTTTTTCGAGCGGCGCTGCTTTGCAGGTTGGCACCATGTGCGTGTGGGCATGGGGATTTCGGGGGACGGCCGTCCTGTCAGCATCCTCAACCCTCCCTCTGAGCTGGGGGACGATAAGAGAAGGATGATTTTTTTTTTATTTTTTTTTCTTTTTTTTTTTTTCAAGTGTGCAAGCCAGCTTGGCTAAGCGGGGAGGACTTGTTTCTGTAGGAACCAGGATCAGCCTCCTGTCCTTCAGGTGCTCAGCCCCTTAGGGTTGCTCTCAGCCCCAGCAGCGTGATCTGACTCAGATGGATCACTTGAAAAACTTATTTTAAAGCATTCAAGACAAAGAAATGGAGAGCTCAATTTTTAAAATGAGTTTGGTTTCCTGCCTGCATGACTGGTACTGGGAAGTGAATGCAGAACTCTGCTGCTCTGCTGGGTTGAAGCCTTTTTGCTTTTAACCTAAATGCATTAATCATTGATGCAAATTAGGGGGACAGAAAAATGCCCTTTTTCTTTTTTGGCATTCAAAATCCTCTCTGGCCCTTGCTGCTTCCATCCATTGGGGCCAGGGATGAGTTCCGGGTTGGGTTTTCACTGACTCACCGCATGCCTTTGTTCCATTACTTAATCTCTCAGTGCCTCAGTTTCCCAAACTCCAGCGTGGGAGTGCCACTTCTGAGCATGTAACTGGTGTTTGTAAAGTGCTTCGAGAATGGCGGTGACTCAAGGAGAGGATGCTCTAGGCCTTTTCAGGTTGCTGAGCCGAGGAGAAGCTGCATTGAGGGTGCAGTTTAGTAGCCCTGGAACTGGGACGGGATTAGGAGGATGGGGTACATGGCGAGACTCATCTTGGACATGAGGGATGACCAAGTTCTTGCTTGACTTGACTTCTCCTCGGCCTTCCCCACTGCTCGTAAGATCCTGAGTCATGGAAATGAAAGGCACCGTGGCACACAGCCAGGGCTTGGGATGGAGGGTGTGGAAGAGTCTGACTGGGTTCCCAAAGCCTGTGGTTGTGATACCAGTGTGCTCTCCAGGAAGGATGGGAGCCTTACCGGAAAGTGGAGGGTTTGTTATCTCCCATGCTCGTCCTGCGTCAAAACAGCAAGGCTTATCTTCATCCCCCGCCCCGTCCCCCCACCACAGCCAGTTTACAATCGCAAACTAATCCGGTGTTTTCTTGTGTTTTATTCATAGGTTTGAAAGAAGCTTTTGGACTGTGAATTAAGGCACTGGGTATGTGAATTTAATTGCATGGCTTTCTAAATGGGTGAATGCAATGCTTCATTAGCCCCACCCTGCGTCTGTGTTCCAATGTGCGGCTGCACCTCCAAAATAGCGTGTGTTTATGTCCTACCGCCAGGTGCGGGGGGGAGGTGTAGCTTGCTTTTCATTGAAAAATTTGGCATTTAAGATGCAAATTCCCATGCAGAATTTCAGGCCAAGGGAAGCTCAGGCTGTCCCAGGGATGGATGGGGAATGCCTGGAAAAGAGTGGACCAAAGGAAGCATGTTTGGAAGGTGTCAAACCAAAGCGTGGAGAGCGAAAAGGAGAATAACTAGTCCTTAGGACAGCCGGTGCCATCCTCCACTAGAGGAGCTGGACCTCAGATCTGGCCGGGGTCAAGTGCATTAGGCACGGGGGAGCCAGGCTTCTGTCTGGATCCTGGCACCAGTCCACTGGGGAACGATGAACCAGTCTCCTTCCAAGTGGCACCCAAAAATCAGCAGCTCGGTTCAGTGCTCAGCTCAAGGCACCAGCAGGGATGGTCAAGAAGAGCTTTTATTTTCCAATTTGGGCTATGCAGTCTCCAGCGGGGATATGCAGAGCGGCACGTATACTGTTTGGGCCGGGGCAGGTGTGTGTGGAGAGGTCACGGCGTCAGGGTGGGAAGAAGGTACTGCTGGCTAGCTGCTGGTAAGGTCTCATTGCATCCACCCCCGAGCTAGGGAGAGAGATGGAGCAGAGCAAGCCAGTGAATGGGGTGGGTGGAAGCCTTCAGGTGGTCGTAGCCAAAGGTCTGCTGCTGTCTGCATCAACTCTTGCTCTTCAGTAAGAGAGCAGCAGGTCTTAGTCCCGCTCGCAATGCCTTCCCAGAGGCCTCCCGGCTTCAACTTTTTCCCCTCTTGTCTCGTGCAGGCTCAAGATGGCCTCTCCGGCAGACAGCTGCATCCAGTTCACCCGCCACGCGAGCGACGTCCTCCTCAACCTCAACCGGCTTCGGAGCCGGGATATCCTGACCGATGTTGTCATCGTCGTGAACCGGGAACAGTTCAGAGCCCACAAGACGGTCCTCATGGCCTGCAGGTGAGCCAGAGGCCAGCGATGGGCAGCGTTCCCACATACATGTGCTGCTCCCTATCCAAAATCACGGGGTTCAGAGCTGCGTGGTCACGTCCGGCAGCTCCGTAGGGACTGGAGTTGCGGTTGGGAGCCAGCGTGCTGCTGTCCGAATAGGTCTGAGATGCTGCATTGCCTGACATCATTAAACAGATGGGACGGGCTTGTTCCTGGGTCCACGGGTGGTTGTCTGCCCCTGTCTCTAGCATCCCTCAGGCCTGGTAGTACGTCCCCTGCAATCAAGCTTTACTTCCCAGTCAGTTTTAAACATGTGGTATTAATATCCCATTGATTTTTTTTTTTCCCCTCCCTTGCCTGATTTCTCATTCTGTTGACTGGGTATCTATTTGTTATCTTCCCTTGTAAATAAAACATGACCCACTTCTATTGTTCTCATGTGATCAGGCAGAGGAAATGAAAGGATTTGGGTTTGAAAGCAGCAGAAAACATCTACAAGGTTTTGTTTTGGAGTGGGGTTTTTTTTTGCCTAAATAGCTTATCACGGTGTCTTCCACGAGACTCCAGAGATATGCAAGTGATGGAGGGAGAGAAGGGGAAAAACACCAACAAATGGGGCTATGATAGGTGAAGGGGATGGAGTGAACAAGTAGCCAAAAAAAAAAGGGAGGATGCTACCTACTCAGTTATGTGATGATTTTTTTTTGTGGACCAGCAAAGGAGCTCAGGGCAGGAGGAAGAAGTGGACAAGAAAGAAGTTTCATTGGGCCCATTTATGAAGGGGGTGGGCTTGTATGTACCAAAATAGGAGTCCTCAGCCTCTCCCAGAGCAGGACGTCCATCCACTTGGGAGCCCCCCTGCTGATTTCCAGAGCCCCTACACTATGCTGTACTCCAGTCAAACTCCCCTCTTCTTCCACCATCTCCCAATGTTTCACTCTCCTTCTCCTCCCGCTCCTTCTCCCCTTTGCAGCGGCCTCTTCTACAGCATCTTCACCGACCAGCTAAAGTGCAACCTGAGCGTCATCAATCTGGATCCAGAGATCAACCCCGAGGGGTTCTGCATCCTGTTGGACTTCATGTACACTTCCCGCCTCAACCTGAGAGAGAGTAATATCCTCGCCGTTATGGCCACAGCCCTGTACCTGCAGATGGAGCACGTGGTTGATACCTGCCGGAAGTTTGTCAAGTCTAGGTGAGAGGCGCGGGCCCCGTTCAAGACTGGGGTGTGTTGTGTTTTTTTGAGGGGGGGAGTGAAAGAATGGACGGTGCGTCGGCCAACATCATTTAAATGCTAGGGATGATAGTAACCCTTCCCTGTGGTCTCGCTTGTTTGTACAGTGAAGCGGAGATGGCCATGAAGACGCCACGGGAAGATTTCTTGGCCGGCCGGATGCTGAGCCATACAG